CTCTCTCTCTCTCTCTCTCTCTCTCTCTCTCTCTCTCTCTCTCTCTCTCTCTCTCTCTGGTTTTATCCTTGTCTTTCCAAAGAAGGATGAGAAGTAAATGTGTGGGTGCTATGTACTGTAGGTTTCAGGGGATTTCTCAACAGCCCTGTAGGAAGCAAGACTTGAAGAGGGTAATGCATTGACCTATCCTATCAGGCTCACAGCATAGGACATATAGGAAACAGAACACAAATTAACTTCTCAAGGTTAAATGGAGTATTAATAAAATGAAGGCCAATGCATTATCTTTCAGGCCCTTCTCTAATTTCTATGGTCGGGAAGAAAACGAAAAGCCTCCGCCCAGGGGCAAGTGGAGAAATTAAAACACACAGAAAGGCTGGGGAAACAGAAGGCAGAGATCTCCAGGGCTTGGGGCGTTGGCCTGAGGTTTCTGCCCTTTTGTGTCTGCTTCTTAACTCTGTCAGGTCAGGTGGAAGATACCGAATTCAAATGGGCTCTGGGGCACCGCTGGAGAGGATGCTGGCTGCAAAGCTTGCAAATTACAGGAATAAATCTAGAGGGGGGAAAAATCAAGCGGACTTCCTGCAGCCCTTGGGGGTTGGAGGTGCGCCCCGTTTCCTGCATACTTGGCCCAGGTAGCAAACACCTGGCCAGAGAGACGAAGGATTGGGCTAGAATGTGGGGACCCACGGAAAAAAGGAGGGTAATGACTCAGTTCCTGCTCCCTGGAGCCCGTGGCTTAGTCTGAGCATCCTGGATAGAGTTGGAGGAGGGGTGCACCTGCCGCTTCAAGCTCCCTGCTGACCTCGGAGGGGTCCTCAGGATGGGGAACACCTCAGAGACCAGTGTTAAGGGTTGTTGAGTCAGGAGCTGGAATTCAGGGTGGGTGATTCACCGGGTGACCTCAGCAACCAGAATCCTGGCTCCTGGGGGCGTCGGGTTGGCAAAAGGCGCGCCCCAGGCTGGGGAGGGAAGGGAGGGGGCAGGGATGGAGGCGGGGTTCTTGAGGCAGCCCACCAGTGGCCAAGAGGGAGGGGCGTGGCAGGACACAGCTCCGCCCCCTGCGCGCCGCCTAGCTTGCGGACCAGACCGGGAGGCGGCGGCCAACCTCTGCGCTGAATGGGCGGGTGGCATCCCGCTCCGTCCCGCCCGCCGCCGGCCCCCCATCGGCTGCTCCCGTCGCGCCCGGGTCTCCGCCCGCAGCCGCCTGAGCCCGCCGGGCTGTGAATGAAAGGCAGGCGCGGCCGAGGACTAGCTGCCAGCGACGCGGCGACGCCGGCCTCCCGGGAGGCGCGCTCCCCGCGGAGATGTACGGTAAGGAGGGCTGGGCGCCCCGGCTCGGGCCCGCAAACTTCCAGGACGCGGACCTTTGTCCCCCGGAGTGGCCCCCCCGGCCAAAAGCGAGAGCGCCGACTTGGTGCCAGGCTGGCTGTTTCAGTCGCCGTGTGAGCGCGCGTCTGTGCCAGAGAGGACAAAGATGCCTCGGGCCGGGGGACTATCTGGTCCCCTGAGGTCTTTCGGGCCGGCGTGTGCAGGCGCTAAGGGGCGGTGGTCCGTCCCCGGGTAAGGGACTCTGGCGGTGGAGAGGCACCTGGCTTTGGGAAAAGCGAGTGGCTCCGGAGCTGAGCCGACAAGGAGTGTTGGTGGAGGCGATCGTGTGACAGTGTTTGCAGAATTAACAAAGAGGCTTGTGCTTGGGAGTTTGATGCGCGAAACTGGTCCAAGGTAGAGGGGAGCTGCTCGCTGCAAGCCTGATGCCGGGCTCGCCGCCTGTCTGATGTGGGAGGTGGCGCCGGCGGTGCAGAAGCTGGGGAGCAAACCGGCGCTGAAGCCTCATCTCTTCGAGCTGGGTGGACTTGGCCTCTACCTAATCCGGCTACCGGTGGGATGCAGGCTTCCCAACTTCTAGAATGGCCCTGCAGAGGGCTCAAGGGAAGAGATGTAGCTTCGAGGGTCTCCCTCAATTCCACAGGCACCGTCCCCACGGATGTGTGACAGTTCCAAGACCCTCAGTGTGCACAGCTCTGCTTGCTCATTTATCAGGAATTCCTCTGGTTCTGCAGGCAGTGGGGATGAGGAAAGCTCTCCTTGGGTCCCACTTGGCAGCTCAAAAGAGTGGAGAACACTGGCGATCTGGACCAGTCTAGGAATGGGCTGCCTTGCAGAGCCTACCAGGGGTGTGTGTGCGTGTGCGTGCGTGCGCGCGCCTGTATTCCAATGGACAGACTATTAGAACCCAGGTCTCTGGTAGTTATTCTGGGGCCAGCAAAAGAATTGGAGCCGTGCTCACTCCCCTCTCCTACTGCAGGGTAGGAACTCTGCACCTGAGGGGTGAGTGATCTAGAAGAGCGCGTTCCCAATTTAACCCATCTGGAAGGCTGCTGGCTGCCTCTGCAAACAGACCATGAGTCACAAAGTTTGTTGGCACAGAGGAAGCTTGAGAGCATGCTGAAAGGGCTCGGCAGTTGGTGGGCCCCCTAGTTAGAACACAAAGGCTCAACTTTCACATCTCCTTCCCTGCCCAGCCGATCACACCGCCACATTATGATCCCTGTAAAGATATCAGCAGGTCCTCACTGCGTGCATTCATTCTCTTGGGTGGACCCAGTGGGGGAGGGGCAGCCTGACCTCAGAGGCTGGACCCATAACCAGTGGGGACTCTGAAGGAAGGTGACTGGACTTGCACATTTGCCTGTTGGGAGGATAAAAGAGCCATATACCACCTCCTTTATTCTGTCTACCTCCCCCCACCACCACCCCGCCCCGTTCTTTTCTGCAGAGGGTGCAGCCGGGTGCAGCCTGAAGCTGCAGATCACTTGATAGAAACATGTGACTCCGGGAGCACCTGCAGCGGGAAGGAGTTAGGACAGGCCCATCCGTATGGGCCAGAATTAGCAGCCCTGGGTCACCACGTTACAGCTAGTCGATGATGCGGTAACTTCCGTAGGGTGTCTGAGAACTGGGGTGTGGGGGTTCCAGGTCTGCTCCTGTTGGAAGAGCCGGGCTAGAACAGAAGGAGGAACTGAGGAGGCAAGCCTTACTTGCGGGCTATTTTCAGAGGCGCCACAAAATTTCAATTCTCTTTAATAATGTTTCTGTTTCCCCAGATGCAAACAGAGCAGGGACTTGACCCTGAGTGATTCATAGAAAGAGTGTGGTGAGGGCCTCCTCGGGGTAGTTGCCTACCGCACAGGAAAGTCACATCAGTGCTGGGGGGAGCTGCCCCCCTCCCCTTGCCAAGCCCGGTCTCTGGAGTTGTCTGGGAATCTGCTCTCCCGAGGAGCCTCGCTTGTCTGCCTGCCTTCTAGCGTGGTCTTGCCTTGGCTGCAGAGCGGTTACATTCTCTCCCTAGAAGTCAGTGATGAAAAGGGATGTGAGCAGGACAGGGGTGTGTGTGTGTGTGTGTGTGTGTGTGTGTGTGTGTGTGTGTGTGCAAGCATTCTAGCAGCAGGGACAGAAGGGTCACTGCAGGTCTGAGAACAGCCTGGGCTACAGAGTGAGTTCCAGCTTAGCAGGGCTGCGTAGGGAGAGGCTGGCTAAAAAAGAAGAAAAAAAAGGCAGAAGATGTGAGTGGGGTGGTGAGAGACACACGGCACTGTGGACTTCCTATGGATTATCCTTTCCCCTGATTTTCTACGTGACTTGTCCAGGGTGACATGGTCGAGTGAGGCAGGGTGACACACCTCAGGGTCAGTGCTGGCCCCCTGTACCCCTTCCCCTAATGTCCCGGGTGAATACGTCTTATAAGATGCCACCAGGCATCTTATGAACTGATAGTTAGTAAGGACATTCAGAACCAGAAGCTACTTAAGAGCTTTAGATAAAGGTGACCTTTGGGCACCCACCGTGGTGACTCGATCCATTATAAATTCAGATCCATGAACTATACCCTGTCCTGTCCTCAGGCCCTATGCTTGCCTCAGGCCAACTTCAGACCGATCTTCATTTCTCTCTTGTCAGTGTCTACCTTATACCTTCGCCCTCCCCAGCTCAGCCATCTTGTGGGGGCTCCGTCTGTCTCCTTCCTTTGCCCTATAGGAGGCCAAAAGTCTTTTGTCTTTCCTGGAGGGCACAGTGGGATCCTAGACCTGAGGTCCTTGGATCTCAACCCAAGAGCCAGTCACGCTCTCTGGCCTTAGGCAAGTGCAGTCGTGTCTCTGAATTCTTTTTCTCTATAAAATGGTGACATGCCTACCTACCTCCCAGGTCTGTTGTGTACCTCAAAAGCCAAGCAACAATGTCAAGAGCATCACAAGAAGTTCTACATTTGCATGACAGGGCACAGAAGAGCCTGTCCCTTCCAGGTCCTCTTGGGGCTTCTTGTAGGTGCAGGAACTGGCCAGGAGGAGAAGCAAGAAACCTCAACACGTATCACCTTGACCTTGCTAACTATGGGCCACTAAACAGCTCCCCACACCCCTTCCTTTTCTTCTTTTTTTGAGACAAGGGTCACACCATGTATCCCAAGTTAGCCTTGAATTCTTCCTCATATTCCCCGCCTTTGCCTCCCAAGTGGTGGGATTACTCATGTGGAACTACACTCAGCCTGAACTATTTTCTTTCCCATTTCCTGACCCACCCAGGCTGCCCTATCATTCACTCAACCCTAACCCAGAGTCACTTTCTGAAATGGCTCTCCAAAGGGACACATATTACTTCCTACAGTCTTTTCTTGTTTGTTTTCTGAGACAGGGTTTCTCTGTGTAGCCCAGGCTGCCCTGGAACTCACTCTGTAGACCAGGCTTGGCCTCGAACTCAAAGATCTACTTGCCTCCGCCTCCTAAGTGCTGGGATCAAAGGCGTGCGCCGCCGCCGCCGCCGCCGCCGCCGTGCCGCTGCCGCCGCCGCCGCCGCCTGGCCCTGTGATTATATCTATAAATGTGGATTAACAAGAGCCATGGAGGAGGAGCAAAGCATTTTGTCCTGGGGAGGGAGGGTCACCAGACAAATTCTGTGCAAAAGTGGATCCCGTTTTCTTTTGGTTGGGATTATGTAACTAGGATTTAACCTATTCCTCTTACCTGCGCCAGAGGCATGAGAGCATCCCATTCCCCCACCGAGGCCAGTTTGAGCTTCCCGAGAAAGATGCCTCCAGAGACCGAGGGCAGCTGGCCACTAAGAGTAGAGAGAGGAGAGAGGATTTCCCCACCGCACTGTGGTCTGGGCACGCTGGTCCCACTGGAGCCAAAGCTGCTCTGAGCAGTTCCTCTGTATGCTCAGCTTGGGCCTCCCTTCCTGCTTTGCGAGGGAGAATGCTCACTGTAGGGAGAGCAGGGGTGTCTGGGTTTTAGAACGGTGCTCAGCGCATCCAACACACACTCCGTATCGTGTCGTAAATGGAGCAGAGAAACCGCAGGACCAGGCTGATTCTCTCTGAGGTGCAGACTCACCCTTGCGGAAATCTGCTTGCCTGTCTCTCTCTCTCTCTCTCTCTCTCTCTCTCTCTCTCTCTCTCTCTCTCTCTCTCTCTCTCTCTCTCTCACACACACACACACACACACACACACACACGGCGACACTGACCTCCTCTACAAACCCTGAGCCTCCTGCAGCTCGTGGTACCCCACATGGCTTCAGCTGCATGGCCTGCCAGTACCTACACACACACACACACACACACACACACACACACACACACACACACCCGTCTTTACTTTACTCTCCTTTGGAAGAGGCCCCGCGGGTACAGCCTGTTTTCTGTCCCTTGCAGCTCACGGTTCAGTCATTCAGGCTGTTGCAGTGTTGTTCTTTTGTGTCAATTAAAAACCAGAAGTTGATATCACCTTCCAGAAGATCTGGAAAAGAGAGAATGGGGGGGAAATCATCCCTCCACTGCTGCTCATTCAGACCTATCTTTTGGGCTTGGGACTAACTAGCTCAGTGGTAGAGTCTGAGGCTTGATTCCCAGCACGACAAAACAGAATAAACAAACAAACCCTAAAGAACAAACTCTTGAGCCGGGCGGTGGTGGTGCACGCCTTTAGCCCAGCACTCGGGAGGCAGAAGCAGGCACATCTCTGAGTTCGAGGCCAGCGTGGTCTACAGAGCAAGATCCAGGACAGCCTGGGTTACAGAGAGAGAAAACCTGTCTCAAAAAACAGAACAACCAAAAGAATGAACTACTGAACAAAACTCCCCATACCCTCCGTTTGCCGGGCTGTAGTGCACACAGATGCTATGATTTTTGCCACTCACCCAAATCCTTCGCCCTTTCCTTTCTTTCTGGATCTGCTGTGTTTGTTACTCTAGGCCAGCAATAGAGAAAGAGCACTGAGCACTAAGGGCCCCAGCTCTGACCCTAGCTCTTCCCCTCA